GTTTCACCGTGTTCGCCAGGATGGTCTTGATCTCCTGACCTCGTGATCCGCCCGCCTCGGCCTCCCAAAGTGCTGGGATTACAGGCTTGAGCCACTGCACCCGGCCTGGAAAACTGATTTTCTTGAAAAATAACGCAAGGTCAAAGTCCTTTTGTTTATTTATTAGGACTCTTTGAACAAGTCTCATCGGAATTATTGGACTTACTATGTTTTAGAAAGTAACATTCTGGAGAGAGCTAGGGACACATAGATTACCTCAGCCTTAGGACGCAGAGCACATCCATACTGCTCACTGCATACATAGCACAGTGCCTGGCATACAATGTTCATCAAGTATTATTCAATAATGTATGTGGTAGCATGATTCACAGATAATTTATGTGGGGAATATTTGTGTTTAAATGGAAGATCCTGAAAATATAACTCAATCTCTTTTTGGTAGAATGTATGGCAAGATCTTTTTGAGCATAGGCCCTTCTCTTAGCAGTTGGGATTTTCTAGTTGTTCATTCCCTTGAACTTGACAATCAAGGCTTAATTATTGTTTTCAATCACAGTAAGATGAGAGTCCTTAGAGTTTGGTTCACTATGCCTGGGATTGTTCCTGTATGGGGGAAGAGCTGTTCCCAAGCTTAGGGTTCTCAGTTACAGTGAATTATCTCACAAGGATCTTTAATTACAAAGACCTTTAATTATATCCTGTTACTATTGTGATCATTACAGAACTGGCTGATTTAAATAATTCAAACTGCAAAAGAAAAATGAAGGAAGGGTATATCAGATGAGAAGGACAGAACTGTTTAGCCACCAAAAGGAACAAATTCTCAACTAGAAGAAAACAAAATCTAGCTTATGCTGTTTTTAGAAGACATACCTAAAACATAATGATATAGAAAAATTAGGAAGTAAAGGAATGAGAAGAAACTTACCAGAGAATTACTGCTCCCAAGAAAAGCCAAATTAGCAATATCAGTATCAGAAAAAATAGGTTTTAAGGCAAACGTGACCATTATAAATAAAGGGGATTGTATGCAGCAATGAAAAAAATAGTTTATTTGGAGGATTGACCATTTAAATCTGTATATGCCCAATAATACAACCTCAAAAGATATAAAGCAAAAATTGACAGAATTATAATAAGTAGAAACTTACTTAATCCTAGAAGATTTTAACTTACTTATAAACCACCTCCAAAAATGATATCTTAAGCAGCAAAAAAGATGAACCTCATTAATGCAAAAATCCTAAATAAAAGTTTAGAAAATTGCACCTAATAATGTTTGCAAACATACTTCATGTGTAAGTGAGGTTTATCTCAAGAACGCAAGGCTACTTTAACCTTAAAATATACTCTCCAAAATAATTTTCTGTAATAACTGACACATTAACAGATAAAAGTCACATGAACATATCAATAGATGTAGAAAAAATTTGAGAAGTTTTAAAATTAGTTAAGATAAAAAAACTATTAGCAAACTAGAAATATAAAGGAATATCTTTCACATAACTAACGGTATCTGAAAAATTGTAGGGGCCCAGCAGCAGTTCTCTCTGACCTGGTGTCCTCCTGTCTGGTCCCTCATTCTCTCCAGAGGCTGGTCATAGAAACTGGGATCTCACTTCCCCAAGGCGGGTCATAGAAACTGGAACCCTCTTGCCCTAAAGTCAGTTTTACAGTCTAAAAATATTACTATCACTTTACACAGTCTTTCTGTGTAAAAACTGACCATGAATAACCTGACCTATCTTGTTTGACTGTAGGTCATAAGACCCACTTAGCAGAGAGGGTCCTGCCCCGTACTCAGAAGGAAGGAATGGTGAGAGGCATTGCTACACAGAGAGGTCAAGAAAAACCCAGACAGACAGGCCTTGCTAGGTTTTCTCACGCAGTCTATCAGCTTTAGGTCCAATCATTTTCCTACACAACTGTCCATACTTTGTTGAAACTAAGCATAAAAATGGACAGTTTCCTCTGTATCTTTGGGTCTTCATTCTGAAGGCTCCCATGTCACACAAAACTATAATCAAATAAATTTGTATGCCTTTTCTCCTATTAATTCAACTTTTGTCAGTGACTTTTAGTGAACCTTCGGAGGACAAAATGGCAGCTTTCCTCTCCCCCCTACAACACCTACATGATGCCTTATATGTAATAGTGAACTTTTCACAGCATTCTAGTTAAAGTCAGGAAGAAGAAAGAATGCCCATAACACATTTCTATTTAACACTGTCCTGGAAGCCCAATAAAATAGATGAAGAAAGAGAAATAAGAGGCATTTCTCTTATTAAAAGAAGAAACAATGTTGTTAGTTTGTGGTGATACAGCTGTAAAAATGGAAAATCCAAGAAAACCTACAAATTATAAGAACATTAATTAGAGTTGAGTAAGGTTACAGGATGCAAGATCAGTATTAAAACATCAGTGGAATCATGCCTGTAATCCCAGCACTTTGGGAGTCCGAGGCCGGTGGATCACCTGAGGTCAGGAGTTCAAGACAAACCTGCACAACATGGCGAAACCCTGTCTCTACTAAAAATGCCAAAATTAGCTGGGTGTGGTGGTGTGGGCCTGTAATCCTAGCTACTCAGGAGGCTGGGGCAGGAGAATCACTTGAACATGGGAGGCAGAGGTTGCAATGAGAGGGTGCCTAGGGATGAATCTAATAAAACGTATGCAAACATTTATGAAGAATAATGTAAAGTTTTATTGAAGCCCAATGTAAAGGAAGTGATATACCATGTTCATGATTAAGAAGGCACAATATCATAAAGATGTAACTTCTGGCATTAAAACGTAAATTCAATCTAGCTCCGAACACAATTTTTTAGGAGATCGATAGGCTCATCTAAAATTTATATGATGAGTAAATGGCCAAGAATAGCCACAACAATTTTGAAGAAGGATATGGTGGTGTGAGAATTAATTTACCAGATAACAAGACTTCGTATAAAATATGGTAATAAAGCAGTGGAGCACCAGGGCAGGAATAGATACCCAGAAAAATGGGCCAGAAAAGCCTGGATTAACATTTGGGCATATGTAGACAATCAGAAGACCACAAAGATGGCATAAAAGATAAGCAGGAAAAGGACGAGTTACTCAGATACAAATGGATTCATCAGGGAAATAAAAAGTAAAATAACAATGCATCATTTTATGCTCATTGAATTGTCAAACATTAAAATATCTGACAGCACCAGGTAATGATAAAGATGAAGAGAAATGGAAATTACTACACTAAAGGTAAGGGTACACATCAGTAAAACTACTGTGGAGAGGAAGAAATTTGTCAGTATCTAGGAAATATTAAGATATGCATTTTATATGACCCAACAATTCCACCTCTAGGTGTATATTTTGGAGAAACTTTTGCACATATTCCAATGAGACTGGCATAGGAATACTCATTGCATAGTCACTTATGACAGTGAAAATCAAATGTTGCTAAACAGGGAGATTAATAAATTGTATATATGTGTAAAATTATAGCAGTGGTATACACACAACTTTTGCCATTTATGGCAATGAAAATTAAATATTGATAAATAGGGAGATTAATAAATTATACGTATGTATACAATTACAGCAGTTGTATGCATAAAGCAGTGGAAATTAAATGTTGATAAATAGGGAGCTTAATAATATACAACTAAGCAGCTGGAGCTATTTGTATCCCCAAAACCCAATGCCGAATGAAAAAAAATCAAAGTGCATAATGTTATCTGCTATTTTTTATGCAAAACTCATAAATACCAAAGTAATTGGTCATGTTATTTAAGGATAGATAGATTTGAGGCAAATGCATTTTAAAAATAGCTGGGAAGGATATATAATAACTTTAGGATTGTAGTTACTGCTGAAGAGAGAGGTAGAGAATTTGGTTGTTGAGGGATGTAAATGACAGTATCTGGGATATTAAATGAATGCTTGTTAAAAAAAGGAACAGACAAGGGAAAGTATGAATATTTATAAGATTTGGATGTGGGTAAATGAGTCTTTGTTATGTTTTTCTGTATATTTTCAAGTATTTGTGAAATATATTATGCAATAAATAAAAGATCATAAATGGATGATGAACTCACAGCTGGTTTTAAGTAACGACATTGAATAATTCTAGTCAGAAAAACATGAACAAAAGAAAATGTGAAACTTTGGCCCCGAGATTTGTGGCTTGTTGAATGAAAGTTGATCGAATCTCAGGTTTGGAAACTTGGGAAAGCTGATGGAATCTCAGGTTTGGAAACTTGGGAAAGCTGATGGAATCTCAGGTTTGGAAACTCTCCTTTTGATTGTTCTTGGTTGTTCCCAGGAGAAGTTCCAAGAAACTTCTGGGTGCTTCCAAGCATGCTTGCATTTTCAAGGCTTGAGTCTGGCAGACGAATAAAGACTGGGGAAATGTGTGTTCAGTTTTGATTTAGAATTAGCGGGAAAATAAAATCAGAGGTGTTCAAAGATGAGCATAAGGATTTCTGCTTGAAAAAAATGCCACCCGTAAGTGTCCTAAGATCAATGTTTTAGCATGTGTCTGCACACTTTATTTTCAGAGTTAAAATGCAGTCCCCCCTTCTTCTTTTAAAAAATCTATTCTAATACATTTTGTTGTGGCAAAGAAGAAAAACTTATTTCAAGTTAAATTTTTCACGTAATGCATATTTCGCATACATATATAAAGACCCTCCAAAAACCATTGCTCACGTAATAATTTATTAAGTCAATTTCAACTAAACATTGCTACCATTGCAAAAGCATTTGCTCTGAAAAGGGACTGAAAAATGCATCATAAAGTTACATAGTTCAGCAACAATATCAGTATTGATTATGTAAAGTAAAACTACTGGCAAATGTCATTTAAGCTTACCCTGTAATTTTTAATCACTTTATAATGAGCAAATGTGTCACCTTAAAAATGTACCAGTGGCGTTTACAAATTCTTTCAAACTCATTTACAAATACAGTAATAAAAATTCCTGAGCTCCCTTTTCTTACACCAGTGTTCACCAATCAACATCCACGTAGTGTTTTATTTGACCGACATCCTGTTTCTTTTTCTTAAGAAAATATTTTATCACATTCGTAAAGGTATCTGTGCTTCCAGTCAGTTTGTAAGTATCTGTTTTTAATGTGAACCTGATCATAACAAGAGATAAATGCTTAACATTAGCAGGGGCAACAGGAATTGAGGGGCGGTGTGGGGGATGGTGGAGGAGATGTAGATATAAGAATTCCAGTTTAGGTATTGGGACCTCCAAAGTAGAATGCATCTGACAGTTTCAAAAACAGGCTCAGTTTCATCTGCATGGTTTCGAGGGACTTTCAAAGGTAAAGCCAGCAAAAGTTACTCTGCATATTCTGGCCAGGAAGGTCTCTGTTGGGGGTTTTTCAATAATTCTATTTCTTATCCTTCTCCCCTGTCCCCCCACTGCTCCCTTACCCCAACATTTCAAAGTTTCTATTAAATAGAAGTTGCATCTTTCAGCCCCGAAAAAACTGGGGAGATTTACAAGGTGTAAAACTTGATTAGTAAGTTGTAGGAAACCTGACAAGGTTAAGGTGTCAGATGGGAATCTGGCAAGATGTGGCAATATTTAATTTCTGTTTTCTTTCGGGAAAGTATATTCAATGCTTTTGAAAAATTAGTTACATATTACTTCTCCAGCTCACCATTAATTATATAGATCCTGTGTCTGGTGACTGAGACTTCAAATTTTGCACCTTAAAAATATAAGAGGACCCAAGAATTAAAGGCAGATGGCTTCAATATAAGCACAGGAGAGCTAGCATTTCTTTGACTGAAGCCAAGTTTTTTAGAGCATGATACTCAAGTAAGAAAGAAATTTCTCATTCTTCTGTAAGACACGGCATTAGAGAATTAAGAGGAGGCAGAGAAGAACTTGGAAAGCAAAACCACACACCATTTCACAATTCTGCAACACAAACATGAACAGTAAGTGAAACTTTCTAGTTCTAGATCCATTAAAAGTAAAAGATTATCCATTTGCACTTCATCTGATGGATTTTGTCAGAAAAGCTGTTGTTAGCAATATGGATAAATAATAACTGTTCAAAAGGATTCCCCACTTAAAAAAATGCTTTGGTTTTTCCATTATTTCACAATATTTAAATAAGCTTCTCTTATTGGATCTCCTTATATCTGGTTCCATCTTCCCTCATTTTTCTCAGGCTCCTATGTTATAGGGATGAGGTAAAGGAGGGAAATTTTGTTTTGCAATCATATGGAAGGGTGGACATAGACGGGAAGAACTTTTTTTGTCCAACTTACATAAACAACGTCCTGATTATAGATCTTTTAGCAACAAGAAATGTCCAAAAAAATGCTTCAGCCATGAATGTGTTATTTTGCTCATCTCCATTTCAAATAAAAAAAATAGGGCAAGAGTAGGTAAGGGAATTAAGCATTTATTAAGCCAGGCACTGAACTGGGTATTTTCAATAATGGTGTGAATAGAAATATAATGAACACATTATATTGGGATGTCTAAGATTTTGTTTGGCAGGCATTGTTTTTGGCATGCAATAAAAATGAAGATGTTATGATAGCAGTTAGCATTATCTCCAATCTATTCACAAAGATTTAACTATCCATGTTGTCCCCTCAAAATAGAAGGAGACAAATGAATAAACCCATGGAAAACAGAGAGCACAATGTGCCACAAGCAAAGATTTACAGAATGAAAAAATGCAAAATAACAAATCAGATAACTATAGTCTTCTATAAATCTTTAAGTCTAAGAAAATAGACATTACAATAACTACATACAGAAATGAGTTTTTAAAATCAAAACAAGATTATTCCTGGTAAATGACTGACTTTTCCCACATCATACTATGTTTGATGGCTAAAATCAAATAAGGAAAAGGGTTATTTCTAGGGGGGTTACAGAAGTCAGTTTGTACGAGATATCATTATCATGGCTTTGGACAACTATGAGGTGACTTATAGTTAGGAAAAAATCTGCACTCTATGGTTTTGCTGGTTTTTCATCTGATGACTTACTAAGTATTCTTTCTGAACCTTTCTTGCAGGCAGTTTTTATAAAATGTAAAAATGTAAGAATGGTTATTCAGAAACTCTCGCATAACCCTGCAAAGTGATGAATTAGAAGGTGTGTGTGTGTGTGTGTGTGTGTGTGTGTGTGTGTGTATATATATATATATACACCCAGCAACTTAATTATAACAATTACTTCTAATTTCTCACTTAGTGTTGGGGAATTTTGCTTGGCATTTTCTAGGGAAAGAGGAAAAGCAGAGGTAGTGGTAGCTTTGAAAATATGGAACCTTACGCTATTACGTATAGCTTCACTTCAATATGGCTTTACAGAAGACACAGTCACCCAACAGGCTGGTTCTAGATTGCTTTGGTTTCCACATGAGACTTTTCAATTGTTTAAAATGAATGATGAAGCACAAAAGCAAGCCTCATCACACAAAGAACACTTGAGAAGCTTCAGCAGTCACATGAAACAAAGCCGAGAGGTTGACTTTTAAACAACTGTTGGATTGTACTTTAAGTGTGTAACACCCCAGAGCAGCTGTACAATGAATGACATAGAATGCTTCTTCCAGACAAAGATTAAGAAAAAAATTAGTACATTCACCGTTTCAACAGAAATACATTACATATTTTTTCAGTTTTTTTTTATAGTCATAGGCACAATCATATTGCAACTACATATGGATAAATTGTAAGTTATTAAGTAATGATTTGCATTTGTATTACATGATGAGTTTCACAACATGAGGATTACATATTTCAGTATGGCGTATACTATTTTTGAACCACATAAAGCAATATAGTACTAAATAATGTAACAGTTACTGTGAAGTCAGGAATGCCACTTGGCAAATACATCAAATATGCCACCAAAAACCAGTCAAAGCATGAGACGTGACATCTTTCATTTCTAAACTATATGCAGCTTTGAAGGAAGGACATTAGGACACAAAGGGGAGGTAGTTTCTTTAACAAATTCACAATTAGCTTTTCAGGAATTTCATAAAACAAATTATTTTTCAGAGGTATCTTCACCATATAGTTTTTCAGATAACATGGAAAAAAGATTTTTTTCCTCAGGATTTGTAAAGTGTGCACAAAAGAACTCAGACTACATTTTGAGGTTTATCCAAGTGAAGCCTAATTTGACCATAACTAGTAAAGGTTATTTTTTATATTACTACTTCAGTTGCTGAAGGTTTTAGGGTTTCTTTCTTTTTAATCAGCAGCAAGTAGAATGTTAATGAATAGATTAAGATTATCTGAGAGTTAATTAATAGACTAAGGTTATCTGTGGTCTATTTATCGACCACACCTTATAAACAAGATAGGTTTTTCCTGTTTTGAGACTTTACATGTCTCAATACTTTCTAAATTGAAATCAGAGCATTAAATCAGGGGAATTGATGTGGATAAAACAGCTGCCAGCATGATAGTGTTTGTGAATTATGTACCTCTCTTGGACATAAACTCATAAAATCTGTTCAGAACACTGAACATATTTAGATTTACCATATCCAATAAAATTTGGATTTAGTGGGTTAGTCTCAGCATTTCCTGGAATCCTGAGATGCCCAGATCTCTCTGGAAACTTCCTATTTCCTATTTTACTATCTTTTTCCTTTTATTGAAATGGGTGCCATGAGGGTCCTAGACCAAAACTCACCATCCTGAAAAACAAAAATCTGGGGAGAGAACTCCTGTTTTATTTTCAGATGATATATTTGCTAATCATAGAATAAGTTCAGATCATAATTATAAATAGGATTTCTCTGAAGCAATCAATCTGTATTTTTAAAGCTTCTCCTTAAGACCTCCAGTATCTAGTCATCAAAGTAGCTTGGATTTATTTATTTATTGAGACAAGGTCTTGCTCTGTCACTCAGGCTGGAGTGCAGTGACACAATCACGGTTCACTGCAGCCTCGATCTCCTGGGCTCAAGCAATCCTCTGGCTTCAGATTCCCAAGTGACTAGGACTACAGGTACGTGTCACCATGGCTGGCTAATTTTTAAAATTTTTGTAGAGACTGGGTCTTACTATGTTGCCCAGGCTGGGCATGGATTTATTAATGGCCTTTGAATTAACTAAATAATTAATGAATGTGGGCTTAGTCTCTAAGCATGCAAATCTCTAAATGGGATATACTTGTGGTCTTCAACTTGGCCTTGGATATCTGTGTGACTGATTTAACCTTTGACTCAGACTTTTGCAGTGCCAAAGTCATTGTTTATGAATAATTTCATTTCTTGTGGATCCTATGGTTGCTACTAACTCTTAGGAAAAATAGTAGGCTCTGGAGAAGAAGTAAAAACCCTATAAATACGTAAAGCTAGGAAGGAAAAGGAAAAGCAAGGATGTTAAATCAATCTGACTTGGAGGAACAGATCTCTGTTTTTCTCTTAAGCATTGTCACACAGTTTCACGTGCTCGCTGCTTCAGGCCAAGGGCATGTCAGCAAGGCTTTCTTGCACTGCACCAGGGACACTGACCTGAAACCCTGGATTTCACCTAGATCATGAGAGGTCTTAGAAACCTTTTAGGTCAACCCACTTATTTAACAAGTAAGGAACCTGATGTCCAGATTTTAAAAGACATCCCAGGACAGAGAGCCTACTTAGTCGTGGCGATGTGATTTAGTCTTGGACATTGAGTGCTCAGTCACTGTCTTAGTGACAGTATTATTGTGCTTGAGCCAAAAAGGCAGAAAAGGAAATTTGTTCACTCAAGAACACATGAGACTTTCATCAGTGGCACATCTATGTTAGCAACACTTGGGATGTTAATTCAAAGTCATTTATATTTTTCTGTTTGTGTGCAAAGTTCCAATGTACATGCATTGTTCTCTTCAGGTTTAGGCATGTAAGCCAAAGACATTCAAAAACGTATCAATATGTTTTGGTATGAAGAGTCTCAAATCACAGCGTGGCAGATTTATCCCCAAATCACAGCCAGACTCAATTTCTTATCAGGCAAAGTAAGTCACACTATTCACAACAGCTCTGTGTTGATTCAATTAAACAATACGTCAACATTCACTGAACATTTGCTGGTTGACCCTTAGAGCATTTTGTTGTGCCCTTTCTGGCTTCTTCTCATCTATCTGTCTGTCTGTCTATCTATCTATCTATCTATCTATCTATCTATCTATCTATCTATCTATCTATCTCCCTACAAGGCAAAAGTTACTTTCTAATCAACACATTTTTCCTTGAAAAATGAAAACTTAAAAAAAAAATAAAACTAGAGGAAGGCACTTTGTAAAATGTGCACAAATCTGTTTCTTTCTTGTCTACTCTAAGGAGATAGGGAAGTTGCTAAAGGCAGGGCCAAGTCTTTCTGCAAATGATGGGCAGTGGTGGACACTTGAGGAAAGAGAAAGCCAGAGTTTCCCCAGAGCCAAACTGCTTCTTGGAATGCAGGGGCCTCTGGTTGCTCAATAACTCACAGGCTTTTCACATTCAGCTGGGTCATCACAAGACACACAGCAAAACCGCCCAGATCTTGTGTAGGCAGTAACGGATTGACCCCTTCAGACCAAGCCAGTTAAAGTGAGTCTTTTGCACTTAAGTGACTACCAGGATTGGTCTTAGGCACTTAGGAAAATGTAGAGTCTGTTACATAGCTAATAAATGTAGGATCTGTTAAATATCTGACACAGCGGATACTAACTTGTGCTTATACACATCTGTTAGAACGAATCGGAACCTTTTGCTGTTTGGGTTGTAAGCTACACAAATCACCCACTGCCTAGATTCAGTTTCCATGTGCCTTAAAACTTGAATATTTAGGTATTTGTTTATAAAAATACAACTTATTATAACTCAGAGTGTAAGGACCCATGAGCCAACTGCGCAATGGTTGTTAATAATCTAGGAAGGTGCGAGGAAAAAAATTAACAGCCAGATATAAGAAAAGAGATTTGGGGCTGTTGGATTCAGCAAGGAATGAGCATGGCTTGATTCAGTGAAAGATCATTTTTCTAAAGATTAGTGCCTCCTTTAATATGTCTCTTTTCAATCTCCTGCCTCTTTTTTTAATGCCTCTTTCTACACATATATTTGCACATAATCTTAGAATATGATTCTGTACACATATCACTTATAAAATGCACATGCAATATATTAAGACTAACTGGAACTGACGGTTTAAAAAGCAAAGTATAAAGAGCACATCACTGAAGATTACTTTGTATTTCTATGACGAAGAGCAATTTTTTGTTAGATTAAGATAGAAGGCATTGGTTGGAATTATTTTTGCAGAAAAATATTCAGTGAGTCATGGAAGCCAGGAGTCAGTTTCAAAGGACCTTAGAGGTTATCTGGTCCAACATCTTCAGAGGAAACTGAGGCTTAGAGAGGGGAATTAATCTCTCCAAGGCAAAGCAGTTAGGACCAGAATCCAGGTCTCTTGACTGTCCCCCGCCCCACATGTATCCTTCCATTTGAACAGCTGTCTCCTTGATAGACCACAAAAAAACCTTTTTGTTAGACCACAAAAAAGCTTAATTCAGATAAACAGTGCTAACTGATCACAGAATTAAAGTCTTGGCTTGATGAGTGGCTAATTGGTGTTTTTTAGGGATTTAATTCAAGTCCTTAGCTGTCACAGTTTTTCATATGTATTATACAAAATTATCTGTCAAAAGCAGATTACTTTTATGTTTAGGTTTTCAGACTTTAAGAATGACTGATACATATCTTCTCTATTCTTAGAGAAGAATAGACTATGTTAGGAAAGGTTTAGTCTGCATTGGCTTTGAGGGTGACTGTCTTTGGTTAATGCCTCTCAAGGTAGACTATATTCCTTGGCCTTTCAGAAGTTGTGCATACTTTTGCAGGTCATTCTTTTATGTGAATTCACATAAGATTCGGCATAATGGGAATCTTAAACTACTGATATGTTTCTTTTTTTGTTTTCTTACCTGCAGTGTTGTTCATTGCAAGTCAAACAGACTTGATCTGTCCTTTCCAAAAGAAGATTGTTACTATGCACTAAAACAACTAAAATAACTAAAATAGTGGAAATGGCTGTCTAGAACAGTGCTTCTCAAACTTCAGTGTGCACTTGAATCATTTGGGGATCTTAGTAAAATGCAGATTCTGATGCTTTAGGTTAGAGATAAGGCCTAAGATTCTGCAAACAGAATTTTCAAACACTGCCCAAGTGATGCCTATGCAGTTGGTTCTCAGACAGTTTAAGTATTGAGGATTTAGGGGACTGAATGAGCTTGGACAACTTTCCCACATGCTTCCCTTACTCACATGATATTTTTCATATGTTAGGAAAATGGAGCTTCATATCTATTGCTTTTGACATTCTCAAAACACTGGCAATGTGTTCACTTTCAAACGGGGCCGGGGGGAGACCTCTGAGTCCAGTTGCTATCAGTATGAGCTAGTTGGGAATATTTGACTCCCAGAGGTGAGCTCAAGTTCTCTATGTCCAGCTAGTAAATGGACACAGAGAATAGATTTACCATCAAGTGAAGGGAAAAATAGAGGGAGGGTGTTAGATGAGTCATGGATGCGCCCTTTAAAATGAAGATCCAAGCTTTGACTTCTTTCAGGAAGCCTGACATTGGAACTGACTGGGAGATTCTCACTACCACACTCTGACCTCTGGAGCTATTTCCATTGCTATACAAATACCTAGTTTCCCAGAACCTTTATTTGGACACTTCTGATATGAGCTGTTTCTGCCACTGCCAAGATTTTGCAGTTGAATTTACTTCAGAGAGACACTAACTCCTGGCTTTGCTTAAAATTTTTTTGTGGCTCAAGATTTCTCACAAAAACAAAACCTCTCTCTTTTAAACAGCTGTTAGAAATCATAGCTCTCCCTTTTTATGGTAGCTTTAGGAAGATTCACCCATTGATGAACAGGAGTCCCAGAGGAGCCTGAAACTCCAAGGAGAAATAATTTCTGGTTTGTGGAGAATCCTAAATCCCTAGGTTGTTGGTGGTGGTAGTTGTCGTTTAAAGTGTCCTGGAGATAAAAAGAATCAGATAAACTATACTACATTGTGCTGGAAACTGAATTTTGTCATTCACTTCATATTTCACAGTGGGCTTTGGGTTGGTATGGCATTTTACTCCACAAATGGGAACTGCATATACTACTATGTACTGTAAATACACATTATAACCTCGCAGCAGAAAATACTTTACCCACTGAATACGTAAACAGCTGTACTGGGAAGATAGAAAATAGTCTTTTATTTTACCTAAGTTATAGAAAAATAGTCTTCAAAAATACATTGTTAAACTTACGGGTTTGTATTAAAGTAGAATTTGTATGTACAGTAAGGCAGTAATTCCGTTAGCATCCTGCTGTGGTTTTCTTTTAAAGTTAGTCTTTAGGGAATTTTTTTTTAACTAAGAAAAGACTAAGGTGTATAATAAATTATCTATTATGCTGAAATGAAGCAGGAAAACATCCTAAAAGGATTCACATGAAATTCATCTGCCCCTTGTGTAAGAAAATTTTAATTTCCAAACTATATTCTATAGAGGCTTTAAAATAGAATTTAGGGGGAAAATCCATGCTTAACATATCTAAACTATTTTAAGAAAAAAATGGAGGCATTATTTCTTACTTGCATATCAGCAATGTGTCAGTAAGGTATAGGAACTGATGTAAACAATTTGTTCTGGAATGCATTCTTTCCTTAAATGGTTATATTTGGGTAATCCTAATAAAATGGAGGAGGAGTGTAAAGGTTATGCAATTGTTTTTCAAAAGCAATTTTCATGGCATTTTCCTATGTGGAAAGTTTTCCTTTGTTATCTTTCTATGGTAAACAATTTTCACAATTTCATTTCCGTCTGTCCCATGCCAAATCACGAAAGCCTTTTCCAGAGGATATTTCTATTGGCATTGTCCCTCAAGAATACTAAGCAGTGTGCTTTTATTTCATTGAACACATAATTTTATAACTAATAGCAAAAAGTAAATCTACAAATCACAGTTAGGAAACATAACGATTTGTTCTGGAATCAGCTGCTGGAGAAAGAGGCAAGTGGTTAAAAATGGAGCATGAAAGGAGCTGGGAGCTTTAGTAGTGTCAGTCTGACTATATTCTTGAACATTTCATGTACTCCGTAGTGTTACCTGAAGAAAAATCACATTTTAACCAATCATTCCATTAGTCAAGCTATCAATGAAAGGAGTGCGTAAAACATGCGGGATCCAGGTAATCCAAACCACCCAGCTGGATCCTGCACTTGCTTGGTGTCGCAGTGAAGTTGGCCAGGTCTTTCTCAGCTTGATTCTGTTCAAGTGATGGTGGGGCCTCTTTGGCTGATTCTTCAAAGCAAGCCACATTTTTAGCATGCGGATCCGACACTAACACCAGGATGTTGTTATCCATGACCCCGGACACTTTGGCATACTCCTTACTGTTCTCAGGAGCCCTGGGCTTCTCGGGCTGGCCGCTGTTCTCTCTCTGTTTTGGTAGCAATGATAATGCGCCATCTTTGTTGACCTTGTGAATCTCCACATAATCCAAGGGTGTAGCGGAGCCAAAGGGGGTTTTCTCCTGGGGCAGCAGCCAGGGCGTATCTTGGTCAGTCTTGGAATGGAAGCTATCCACCTCCCTCTGCTGGGCTGCCTTTCCCTCCTCTCTAGACTTAATGGTTTGAGAGGATTTTAAAGCATCTTTACCTGCTTCGTCCAACAGAGTGGCCGGTGCATCTGCAGGGCCCACAGCCAGCTCACACACATCAGTAATATTGTGGTAGGAGGATCTGGGGCTGTGCTGTATTAAGGGCCATGTTGAACATTTGGATCCGCCAGCATGAAAATAGGGGATTTTGCCTTCCATGCTTATGCACTGGGGGTCCCAGGTGTGGGTTGTTTCAGGATTCTCTGGCTTCTCAATGACCTCAGGATCATACAATGTGGAGGGATTGGCCTGGGGTTCCTCACACTTTTCAGACAAAAGGGAAGGGCTGTCGCAGCTCCCCCGGCCTGAGTCAGTGTCAGGATCCAGGTATGTGGGTTTCATACCTTGACTTGGGTGTTCTTTTGAATGGACTGACATTAGATGCTGGTCCTCACTGTCGTCTACTTCTAAATACTCCACCAGCAAGTCCTCATAGTCAGAAGTGGGAGGAAAGTCTTGGCATCCCAAGGCACTCAGTAGTTCTTCAGACTTGCCCTTCTATTAAAACACGGACACAAGAAGAGA